AAATATTTGTGTGATGCTTGAGGACGGATTCTAACCCAGATACTACATGTTTTTATGTAAATTATCTTTCCTGTGAAAATCGCTGAAAATGGGAACAAACCTTCAAGGACTTCAATTACATTATTTTAATTTTTATCATTTTAGCAAAAGTTATTGAATAATGTCATCTAAAAATTAAAGCGTTGAGAACGAGACATTTTAGTTATTTTAATTTTATCTTTAATATATTTTACAATTTTTTTCCTTACCAAAGACATAGTACATGCAAAAGTTTCATAATTGAATAAAAATAATATTTGTTTTTATTTCTTTTATTTAAAAACTTAAATTACAAAATATGAGATATAATTAGTTCTTTATTTAGGAAAAGAAATCCCCTATTATTTAAAAACTACAAAAGTGGTATTTTAACTCTGTTTGGGAGCATATTGCTCCCTCCTTAAACTTTGAATTGAAAAATGATTTGTTTTTCTGTTAATATGTACAAGATTTAACAGAGTACTTCTGACAGAAGATAAATAAGACCTTGCAGCCCTTGCTTTCAAGGTAAAATTTCAAGTCAACTAAAGATGAAACGAATAAACAACATATAAAAATTTTGATTTATCCCTCTAAACAAGGTTGACCTTCAAGATAGAATCCCGAGTACGTAACAAGAATTGTAGCAAGGAATTATGCTAAAACGATATTAGCAATGATAAAGTTGAAAGCACGACATTGCTTGTTGATTGACTCAGAAACTAAATTCTTTATATTCTCTTTTCCCTTCATAACGTGGTGATAGGTATATTTTGAATACCGTTGCACGATTTCATGAGCCAAAAAGCATCTCTTCCGCCTTTAGTTTGGATAGTAAAAATATTTATGTCAAAAGAACTCAAAGTCCTGATGTCAACCTAACGCGATCCCCCTCCGTTTTTTAAGCAAAATATAGACAAAGTTCACCGAGTACAGAAGAAAAAAAATTCACGATCCAAGTAACATACAAAACCAACCTTAGCTCAGATCAGCCATTGTGTAGACCAAGAAAGAACCCCCAGTATAACTGGATATCAAAGCCTTTCCAAGTGAGGTAGGCTGAGAAAAAGCTAGCTGCCTGTGTTCAAGAGTTATGCCCGTGCAAAAGCTCTTCCTACAATCAAGAAGAAATCGGAAGATCAAATTACATTAAACTTGCACTAACAAAGAAAAGTTAGAATTCACAGAGCTTCTGATGATGTCAAATTCAAAGGTAAAGAAAATCTCAAGACTTTTGCTTACCTTGCTGCATCAAGAAGATTAGTTGCTATGCATTTTCTCCTCTTAGAGGGAGCAACCCAAATGGCTCTAATGCCGCAAACAGCAGGTACAGCATCATCCTCACATAAAATTATTCCATCAATGCTTTCCTCTGGCTCTACAGCTGAAGAATCACTTCTTATGATTTCCCTCTTGAAACTCACACTACCAAATTGAAGGGAAACCAAACTTCTCGTTTCTTTTGCAGAGATGTTATCGTGTTTCTTGATTACTGAGCTTGAGGATATCCTGTGTGCCTTCTTTATTGATTCTGTAACCAGACATCCAGATACTCTTTGGGATGAAACAAATAGGTAAACCTGCAATCAAGGAAAAGGCATAAAATTTGACATTTGCTGCTAGCCAGAGAATTGTTTTTATTTTGTATAAAGATAGATGAAACTCAGGCAGAGTAACATGTTGAAGAATTTGTAACTCAACTAAGAGTTTGGGATCCATTCAGCAAAACTATGGAAACACTGTTAAGATTTTGTGCACGAGGCTTATATGATACTAAATAACATACTTAACTCAAGTAATGGCTTATTGAAGTTATCGAAAACTTTAGCTATATTCGTGAATGAAGTTTCAATCTTAGTCAGGGAGGATTAACTGGATTCAAAGGATGTTTCAGATGGAAATACTTTCTCGAGTTCTATAATTGGTCCTCTCCCTGGACACGGTAGCTAATATAAATGGAAGTTTATTAATACATTTTGCAACTTAGAGAATAAGAGAAAGAAATACCGTTCCCCTTGTAATTGCTTTGCAGTTAACGAAAAATATAAAACATCAATATATATATAACCAACAAAACCTTAAAACATTTGCATTGACTAATTTCTAGTAAAGAAACGTGCATATGTTAATTCGGTAGTCAAATTACTCTTAAATAGACAATGTTATTATCCTTGGATATACAAAACAAATGCAGTTAAGTAAACTACGATGTGAAGAATTAGTGTTTGATCACTTGGGGCTAACAAACATATGCAACACTGATTCAAGCATACAAAGGACATGAAAAAGTTCCTTTGCAAACTTCAAGTTATCATCATACATGTATCCCAAAAAGCTATAATCTTCCATCATCAATATATACATACAACATACTAAGCTGTTCTCCAAATAAATTTCAGATTATATGAATCCTTTTCTACCACTCTACTCGGTTCTTTGCAAATACATCTATGCATATATACTTTTACATATTCTGTCTAGACCCCATATCAATCGATTTTTGTCACAAATCTCAAAAGTTGGTATGTGAACGTATACAAGTTGCAGTAGAGAATAAAATTGCCATAAAGAGAACCTTCATCAAATACCTAATTATAGCATTTAGATTTAAGTATTCAACCACCAAGCAAATAAATCCATAAGGTGGAAGTCATATTTGATCTATATATAGCATGTAATTTATGTCTGATCATGGCAAGAATACCAATTTGGTTAAACGCGTTGCTTCACTGGACTTCAAATTTCACAAGTGTACAAGAATAAATAAGTATTTAACTGGAAAATTTTAAGTAATTAAATAAACCTCTGTTACCACATGTAATGAATTATATTTAATTACAGATAAACAATAATCTCAATCTTGTAATTTCATAATTTTCAAAATAAAGAAAGCACCTATACCCATGATGAATTTTTAAGACCCAACGTAATTACAGATAAACAATAATCTCAATCTTGTAATTTCATAATTTTCACAAATTACTTTCTAATAAAGAAAGCACCTATACCCATGATGAATTTTTTAAGACCCAATGTAATGAGAAGCAATTCTGGAAACTCCTTTACCCCTTGTTACTATCTAATATATTAATGAATTTTGTTAGTCTAATTAACGAGAGAGAGACCAGTTTACGTATTTGTAGAACTTCAACGTCACGTTCATTGAATGCAGTTAGAACTCTTACCAACAACTAAAGTTTCTTGAACTTCAATAAACCATTACTAGAATCTAGTAGGTTATTTAGGATCCATATCAAAACCAACAACAATATGAAATTGATTGACAACCTTACAGTTCTTATGAAGTATCCATCCATCACCGAGCTCCATTTCCATCATCTTGACAACATCCTGAACCTGTGTATTTACTATTTTTTGTATAAACTTCAAAAAGATTGAGAAATTGAATGATATGTTTGCTATCAAACAAAAGTAGAACATTCCGCAATAAATTACCTTATTTTGCTGAGCATGAGGATCATCTCCTTGCACCAAAATAATGCGCTCCCGTTCAAGCAAAGGCACATCAATAATCCTTTCATTGCGCCAACCCTGTAAAGATCAAGTGATGTATAACTAAACAAAGATCAAAATAAGCCAAACTATACATAGATCTTTGCCCGAATAATATCTAGACCAACTACCTTTAAAGAAATACCATGGGTATAATTCTTGTGAAATGTCTTGTGAACCCTCTCATCACCTTCATCACCAGTAGCATACTTGAACCCGCACGTTTTACATGTGTGCAGTAGAAAATTAGACTGACCCAACTCCAAATGTAATTGGGCATAGTTTCTCTTCTTGTTCAGAACCTTTCCACACTTGGGCAGTCCCAAATTTTCAATTTTTTCCTCTGAATCTTGATTGTTTGATTCTTTGCTAATAAATCCACTGTCATTCTCACTGTCACCAACGTATTTGAAAATTTCTCAAAAATCCTTAAAAATGTACTATATACTAACACAATTCATACAACATTGAAGAAAATGTCACATACAATATTCAGGATAAATGAACCCAAAATCTGAATGAGGGTCATCCCAAAATTTCTTATGAAAAAAAGTCAAAATAAAATATCCACACATAAACCTAATGACCTAAAATTGGCACAATCGGAAAAAAGAATATCACAGAAAACGAACTTTTTTTCATTCGAAGAAACAGATTTTTGAATTCAAACAATTAGGGTGAAGAATCTGGGTTATGTACCTGTCCAAGCATTGAGACCTGCGCTTGTATGTGACGGTAATTTCTGGCTCTTTTGTGAATTTTTCAGAATAATCACTAAATTTGATGGGAAACAGAGATAGGTCTGGAGCTTCTTTTTGTGTCGAAGAATTGGGTTTGAAGAAGGCACTGATCTTTGATTGCATCTTTCAATTACTATGTCTTCCTTTGAGAGATTTGGGTCGGCATCCCTCCAATTAAGGGGCGGAGCCAAGAAATTATTTCACCGTAGCTAATTTCAAAATTTTTCCTTTTTTCAATCAAACATTTTTCCAAAAAATTACTTATCAAAACTTTATTTTATGCGTACAGAATGCTTTGTCTGGACTTTTACGGGTAATTTTTAAAAAATGACTCACACATGTGGTCAATAAACAAATAAGAAACATTCGGCAGTGGAGGAAAATGGTTGCACTCCACCTTAGTTCCCCCCAAAATAGCAAGCTTAGCCTGTGTCTGGGCGCACTATTTTTCCCCTGCTTAAGTGATTTTGTGACCGTTGATGCGTCCAACGGTCACAAAATCACGAGCCGCCCGCTATTGAAAAAAGTAGTACTGACACATGTGTCTTTTGCAATTTCCCATTTTTACCCTCCCAATTAACCCCCTTTGTTGTGGTCTGCAGAATGGAAAATCAATGAAACATCACTCTAACAATTCCTCCACTCCACGACGGTGCCGACACTGCTGCTCCACTGGACACTGCTCCTGCACTGGCCGACGTTGCAAAATTTAACTACTTTCCGACCGCCGCAATATCTTCAATTTTACCTTGCCCGACCATGACAAATCATTCGGGACGCCGAACGGTAAAGTATTCCGACAACCCGGTTGCCCTACCCTACTCCGACGACAGCAGCAACCAGTTGATGTAGCCCCTGCAAACAGCTGCAACCCCGACGATGCGTTGACGACGTTCGCGGTTACGGGCCACCGATTGAAGCAACTCCACAGTCACATTCGACGGCCAACAGTCACAATCTGCGCTCCCAGTTTCTCCGACACACACACGGTCAGCTGTTCAGAAAAAACTGCTCACCCACGTCAAACAACCATGGACCCAGACACGTCCCCGGTACGGTACTCGAACTCGAACCTTTTGTTGATTTTTCTGACCACTGTACAATGGCATGGGCATTTATTCTGCAGATGGAAATTGACCGATTTTCCTCCCATTTCGCAGCAAACAAATTATGGTTCACAACCACACCCGACCTCCTCCACATCACATGGGCATCTTGTTGATAGCGAATCGGGCCGTCGGAAGCATGCACAATGGACGGACTACGAGACACAAATTTTTGTCGCCGCCTGCGAGACCGTAATCCCTGATGGGCACCCAAATGGGAAGTGCTTTACGAAATTCGGATGGAAGACATTGGTTCGCTTATTCAACACCAACTCTGGCCACAATTGGAGCAAGCAACAGCTAAAAAACCGATGGGATGCACTCCGCTTGAAACACAAGAGGTTCGAAGAATTGCTCAACAGCAGCGGCGTTGCATATGACACGTCCACAGGCCTGATCAGCGCCTCGACCGAGTGGTGGGATCGAAAGACGAAGGTACCGTTGTATACTCATCAGTACTATGTTTCAGTAATTGATATCCGAAATTGGAAAGGCTTGTGTTATTGCAGAACTGGCTGTCGTTGTAGTATAGGGAGGCATATGCTATACAGGCATGTGACAAATGTATGAAAATTCTGTTGTTTGTGTTGAATGTTTGAACTGAAGAAAGTACTACTTAGCGGGATAGGATATGTATTGAGCTTCGAGAAACTGTTGTCCATTTTTTTCATAGGAGATGCATGCCCTTGATTTTGATGTTATGTACACTGTAACCCCTGTTATAACACAAACTCCACCATGTAGGAAGTGAATTGTTATGTAGGGACACCATTTCGATTATTCCAGCCAACGATTATGAGATTTCTCTGTGATGGTTTTCTAAGAGTTGGAAGTATTACATACACAGCATCTACTATAGCCATATGCTGCACGGCTGTACCTGTCTGTTACAAGAAATTGTCTGTGTATTCAGCTCTTAAGCCAGTGAAATCTGTATAAGTTCCTTCTGTCTTTCCCCTGCAGGCGAATCTGTTTTGTATGTGAGGCATAAGAGCTGAATTGCAGCACAAGGACTGCCGCATATGTGCTGGCAGTAACTAAAATTTTTTTCTCTTGCAATAAACTAGGGCAAATTTTTTATTTCTCTACGTATGTGCTTCGGGCTGCTGTCGTTCATGTTTCAAATCGTTGTCGCACAGTTGGACCTAGCATTGTAACTGTGTGTATGTCTCGTTCACACATTCATGTGCTCGAATTGGAATGACCGACTTCGCTGTTGTATTGTGAAATTGACGCATTCTCCATGCTTTTTCCCGTTGTTTCTATTTGTTTCTCTCACACTTCATTGTGAACCTTGTCTACTTTGTATTGCTTCAGGAGAGGAAAGAATACAAAGAATACAAGGACAAGGATTGCTGCGAGTTGTACCGCTACAAGGTTTTATTCGGGGATGTGTTCGACGCCGATAAGTACGCAGTCACCCCTACCCAAGCATGCCGCACCGGATTCGCCATGTTTGAAGACAGTGCGAACGAAGACCACCGTGATGAGGTCCCGATCAATGTTGAGAGTAGCGGCTCAAGCGATGAGGGTCGTGATGCCGCACCGCGCTCGTCGGCTAGGGATGAATCCGGCCCGCACAGCGGGGACAAATGGAAGGTCGCGGGAAAGCAAGGGAAGGATAAGAGGAAGAAGTTTTCATCTCGTGACATGTCATATTCAGTGGACCGTGCGACCTCCGCCAGTGAGAAGGTTGCTGCAAAAATTGACCACTTCCTTGGAGCAGCTGTGTCCGACCCGAAGACATGCATGAGCGAGTTGCTCGCTACGGGTCGACTCCAGAAGCAAACGGATTTGTACTTTTACACATGCAAGTTCCTTTCTAACAGGGCCAATAGAGAGGTACTTGACATGCAAGACAATGCAAATGACAAGTTTGCTTGAGTGGAGTGGAGTGGAGCTACCAGGAATACAGGAAAACGCAGCCGCGGTAAGATATGGTGCGGTCCATTGCGTCCACGTCCGAGGGAAATTTGTACTTTTTATTACTGTTCTTGACTTTGACATGTACTGTTCGGTTGATGTGTGGACTTTTTAATTGTGTAATTTTCTATGTGAAACAGTCGCCTATGTTTGCCTTTTCCATTGCCAAAATTTTCTCACATGCGTGCTTACAGATTGATTCTTAAAGATTACAAGCATATGTGCCGACAAAAAAACTTTTGACTGTTTTTCATTGTTGGGTCACTCAAGTGGTGCATTACTTGCTGGACTTGTCGCATTAGTCCCATCTACACCTCAATTATTGGTTGCCATGGCCGTGGCAAAAGTTCTATAAAAGGCACAAAAATGTAGTAGATCTTTACAACTTCCAAAAGCCAGTGTCGGATATCATATTCTCATTGTGTTCTAATGGCACATACGGAATTCACCTGTGAGTTGCATCCGACCTCTGAAGCGGAGGATGAACAAGGCGACGACGCATTCATGGAAGAATTGCAAGTTGACATTATGGAGTGGTTTCGATACTGTCAAATGAATGAGGTTACTCTCAGAAACTATTATCGCGAGCAACGCACTCGCGTTTCACAATATCCATTCGCACGAAATGGTCACATGTTCATGTTGGACGCGATGAACTATAGTCCTCAACAATGCTATGCAGAGTTCCGCATGTATCCCGTCATGCTGCGCGCGTTCGCACATATGTTGCGTGACGAGTACGGGCTGCGCAGTCATCAGTACTTAGATATTTATGAACAGGTTGGTATGTTTCTCTGCATACTAGCACATGGGAAGGGGTACAGACAGGTGCAGACCTTGTTCAACCATTCATTGGAAACCGCTGGACACTACTTCAAGCTTGTGCTTCAGGCGGTCCTCGAATTCTCTCAACGAGTAATTTGACCAGATCCAAACTACAATAATTATGCCGAGCATCACGTTCCGAATCTTTACAAGCATCCCATATTTAGAGATTGCATTGGTGCGATTGACGGAACCCACGTAAGAGCCGTGCTTCCACGGGAACAACGCGTGAGTTTTATCGGACGAAAAGGAATTCCGACACACAATGTGCTAACAGCATGTGATTTCAATTTATGCTTCACATACGTGCTTGCAGGTATGATGGGGAACTCCCACGATACTCGCATCTTGGCGCGGGCTATACATAATCTCGAGGTTGAGTTTCTGCACCCTGCACCTGGCAAATATTACTTGGTTGACTCGGGATTTGCTCATCGATCAGGGTATATGGCGCCCTATAAGGGCTCAGATATATTGTACCATTTTCAGCAATTCTATGACGGCGACACTGGGCGTAGACGTAACTTTCAAAATGCCCGCGAAAAATTTAATCTCAGGCACTCGTCATGCAGAAACGTCATAGAACGTGCATTTGGCGTCTGGAAAAGTCGTTGGAAAATACTGGATCGTATGCCCAGTCATGCGTTCGACGTGCAAACACATGTTGTAATTGCAACCATGGGCATTCATAACTTTTTTCGACGGGCGGGCGTGGTGGACGAAGCATTCGTACGAGCGAAGACAGACCCCGACGTAGCAGAAGTCGAGCTACCAAGCGCATGGGACGAAGCTTCAGCGAAAATGAATGCACCGGAGTCACGACGAGATGAGTGGGATATGTTCAGAGATTATCTGGCTCAACAATAAATACGTGTTTTGTTTTTTTTTTTGGTTGAAACTAGACGCAAAAAAAATGTTACCGTGAATAAAAAAGTGTTGTTGCACTTCAAATCTGGGTGAGAAAGCTGTATTGCACTTCAAATCGGGGTGAGAAAGCTGTAATGGACAAAAAAATAATGCACTTGTTTGTGGGACCCCCCACTTTTCATTCTCTCACCATTATTTCCTCTAATAATCCGGTCAAAAGGGTGCAGTACATGTCAGTGCATGGAGAATGTGAATGTGGGCAATTGTGTAATTTTGTAAATGAAAGTATTGTATGGAGAAGCAAAAATTCTACATGTGGGCCACCTGAAAATAGAGGAGAATTGATTCTCCAAATACCAAATCGCGCCCAGACGCCCCCTTAGTATCCTTGTTCGTCCAAGCGTGAAATCCGAGAAAACGCAAGCTCAGTATCCCCTTTCTTTCGTCGAAGCTTGAAATCCGGCCCGCCATCTTCTCCATCGACCGTCGCCCGACCAGCCATCTTCTCCACCTCCAGCGTCAATTGACCAGCTATCTTGCACCCATGTCGTAGAATAAAAGAAGTGTCCAAATGCGAACGTTGCCAGAATATCCAAGACGCGACTAGTTGGTTAGTGCAGTA